TAAGAAAGTCAGAAGCCACAGAAGATCAGCTGTGGCCTGAGCTAGACTTCTGTATTCAGCTTCTGTGCTGGATCTGGCAACCACAGGTTGCTTCGTGGACCACCATGAAACTAGGTTTCCCCCAAAATAGGTTGCTGCTCCAGATGTACTTCTTCTATCATCTGGGTCTGAGGCCCAGTCTGCATCACTGAAGACCTGAAGAGAAGGAGGCTGAGATGGAGCATGAGGGGACAGATGAAGTCTATACTGGATGGTTCCTTTGAGATACATGAGTATTCTCTTTACTGCAATCCAGTGTGTTTCCAAAGGATGAGACATTAACTGGCAGACTGTATTAACTGCATAGGCAATATCAGGTCTTGTTATGGTGGCATATTGAAGAGCCCCAACTACTGACCTGTACATAAAAGGATCATCAAGAGCAGGAGATCCATTTTTGGTAAGTTTGCAAGAGGACTGCATAGAAGTGTTGACAGGACTAGAGTCAGCCATATGAGTTCTCTGCAGGAGATCCCTGATATATTTAGTTTGAGTAAGTAGCATAGAGCCCTGAGCAGCAGGTTTAACTTCAATGCCAAGAAAATAATCCAAATCTCCAAGGTGTTTGAGAGAGAAGTCAAAATTTAGTTTGTGGATGATAGAGGTGAGCAAGGCAATGTTATTGCTGGTGATGATTATATCAATATACACTAGCAGATAGACAGTGTGGCCATTGGAAGCATAGATGAACAGGGATGGATTACACTTGCTAGGCTTGAAGTGTAGTTTGAGAAGGGCTGCCTGTAATCTTTCAAACCACTGTCTAGGGGCCTGTTTCAGGCCATATAAGGCTTTGTGCAGTTTGCACACAAGAGAAGGACTGGAGGTAACAAAGCCAGGAGGCTGTTCCATATACACCTCTTCATGGAGCAAGCCATTTAGAAAGGCATTATTAACATCAAGCTGCTGGATAGACCATTTGTGAGTAAGAGCAATAGTAAGAATAAGTCTGATGGTGATTGGCTTTACAACAGGAGAAAAAGTTCCATTAAAGTCAAATCCCTATTTTTGAAGAAACCCTTTAGCCACCAATCGTGCCTTGTACCTGCTAATTGAGCCATCTGGATTTTCCTTGATGCGAAATACCCATTTACACCCTATAGGTTGCCTGTTTGGGGGAAGTGAAACCAGGGACCAAGTATTATTGTTGCACCAGGCATCAAATTCAGACTGCATAGCCTCTTTCCACTTGACATCTGCAAGAGCCTGTTTAACAGTCTTAGGTTCAGTGTGAGTTACCAATAGCTTAGGATTCAGTCTGGGTTGGACAAACCCAGATTTGGCCCTGGTTTGCATAGAATGATGATTAACAGGTTTAGAGCTGACAGACACAACATTAGCAGGAAGAGAGGATGGAGTGGTAGAGGAAGATGTAGAAGCCTCTGAAGAAGGGGAAATGCTAGGAGTCTGTGGAGGTGATGGTGAATTATTCTGTGTCAGTTGCAGAAGGAGAAGAACCTGCTAACTGACTTAGAGAGGAAGTAAAATTTGACTCAGAAACAGAGGTAGGTGAAGCAGTAGAGGAAAAGGGGACCGCTGTCAGAAGTATTGGCCTAGTGAGTGGAATGTTGGAAAATAAAGAAGAAAGATTTGATGAGAAGTGTTGTTTAGCAAAATTATTGACAGGATTATGACTTGAAGTAGAGGTAGGGAAGAACTCAAGGTAGGGACATCTTGACTCATTGAGCATTACATCCTTGGAGATATAAAGCTTTCCACAAGGTGAGAGACATTTATATCCCTTGTGAGAAGTAGAATGTCCCAGAAACAAACATTCCTGAGACCTGAACTCCAGTTTGTGTGCATGATAAGGTCTCAACAATGGAAAACAAGCACAACCAAAAACTCTCAAAAATTTGTAATCAGGCAGAGTATGAAAGAGGAGAGTATAAGGTACTTGAAATTGAATGGCTGAAGAGGGAAGCCTATTGATGAGGAAGACTGCTGTTGAAAAGGCATAGTCCCAGTATGTTAGTGGTAAGGATGCTTGACTCAAGAGAGTTAAGCCTAAAATCCACAATGTGCCTATGTTTTCTTTCCACAACACCATTTTGGTGGTGTGTGTGAGGGCATATGATTCTGTGCACGATCCCTAACTCAGCAAGAAACTTGCTAAAAGGACGAAATTCCCCACTCCAATCTGACTGAACAGCTTTAATGGGAAATCCAAGTTGCAGTTCAACAAGGGTTTTGAACTGCTTGAAGACACTAAGAGCTTCAGCTTTGGATTTGAGCAGATACAACCAAGTAAACTTGGAGAAAGCATCAACAAAAGATATATAGTAATTAAATCCCTGAGCAGAAGTTTGGGGAGAAGGCCCCCACAGATCACAGTAAATAAGTTCTAAAGGATGCTGATAAGTGGTGTCTGAAGCAGGTGAATGCAGTCTATGTGCTTTACCCATGCAACAGGCAGAACAGAAATAGTCATGATTTTTATTGCTGAAAGAGAGATTACAACTTTAAAGCACCAATCTCAGGGTGTTAATGTTGGGGTGGCCTAGTCTTAAGTGCCATACATTGGATAAAGCAGGGGAAATACTAACAGAATTAACAGAAGGTACAATTTTATTAGATGAATCTAAAGACTTCGCAGTTCTAGAGACATTGAGCAAGGGAAACTCATAGAGTCCATCTGAACCAACATGACCAGCCAGCAGAACAACATTAGACACCTGAGATTTCACAAAGCATGTGTCAGCTGTGAACAGGAAATAAACGTGATTGTCACGACAAAACTGACCGACACTAATGAGATTTTTGGTAATAGAAAGCACATGTAATAGATTATTAAGTATGAGAGGTGCGTGAGGGTGATTTTGAGAAAGGAATTGACTAGAGCCAGCAGGGTTTATGACTAAACCTTGACCATTTCCGATGTAAATTTGTTCATGCCCTTCAAAAGGTGTAACTTGTTGCAAGTTACTAGCATCATTGGTGACATGATATGAAGCCCCTGAGTTAGGATACCAGGAAGCAGCAGAAGTAGATGGAGCAGCATTTTCAATAAAGGTGCTGGGAGAAGGATAAGCAAATGCTGGTCTTGCATGAGTAGCTTGAGGTCTTGTCCACACATTAGTAGGAAATTGTCCATAAGGAGCCTGAGGAGTCTTCCAGGGAACAGCAGCATAGGGATTGCTGCTGTATGAGGAAGGTTGAAACTGTTGATTGAACCTGTGCCAGCAGTTAAGAGCTGAATGTCCAACTTTAGAACATACTTGACACTGGATATTGGAGTTTCTGCCACCTCTGCCTTTACCACCACGACCTCCTCTATTGGATTTGCCACCTCTGAAGCTGGAATACTCAAGTTCAGCTTGAGATGGAGCCATCTGAGAGGGAGTAGAATCAGTGCTGCCAGATTGAGGAGTTTCAGGAGAAGGAGACTGTGGTGGAGCATGTGTAAGATTGAGAGAACAAAGATCAGGCACAACTGGCTTTTTGAACTTGTTCAGGCGCAATTCATGCAATTAAGAGAATTTCAACTTCATCCGAATCCATATCACCAAATTTACTCTCAACCACTGACACTACAGGAGCATACTCACTAGGAAGTCCTTCAAGAATTACATCAATATGGTGAGAAATTGGAAAAGGATCTCCAATGGAAGCCAACGAATCTACAATCATGCGAATTTTCAACAAGTAATCAGAAACAGACTGCGAATCAAGACTTAGGGCACGTAATTCTACACAAAGTTGACAAGTACGTGCACGAGTTTGTTTATGAAAATAACCGAATAATCGATCCCAGAGTTGATGCGAGTGAGAGCATCCAAGGACACGAGATAGAATTTCGCTCGAAAGCGTCGATTGAAGCCAAAAAAGCAGTAATTGATCTTTCTGAAGCCAAAGCGAGTACGTAGGACTGATCATACCTTGACGACGAGCTTCGTCGTCCACGAATTTGGGAGGAATACGAGTGCAAACAACGAGATCTGTGAGATTGTGCGCATTGATGTAAAGCTCCACTTGCTAGCGCCAGAGATGGAAGTTCTTCTCATCGAGCTTGTGCGCAATCTTGAGAGAGAACTGTAAACGGCGTGAATCATCAGTCACCACCATGGACGGCGAGTTTTGCGACGTAACGTGAGCGGAAGACGGCGATTCCAGTGGAGTAGACGCCATGGATCGAACCTAACTAACTGATACCATGATAAAAATCATAGTGCACTCTTCATTTTCAGTTATAACTGAATTTTGTTATGTGAAAAGTATTTACAAAAAGGGATTAACAGTTGCATTTATAGTTACGACTGTGTGACCTGCTATAGCAGGTCACCTACTGCTAGAACTGATACATGTCAGTCATTTACAAGAGTTTTAATAGATATAAACTATATATTTCAACTATATTCTAATACATGAAGTTGACCAATTGCATTATCATCTAAGATTCTGAATGATATTGTATATCTTTATGCAGAGATCTGTCGTATAACAACTTCACTATAACAAACTTTGAGCAGCAGACTTGTCAACAAGGAACTGTGTAAGAGTCCTAGCATTGTGTTTTTCCACTTCTCTTTTGATTTCATGGTTTTCTTGTTTTGTATTTTTATGAAACGACCTGAGCCTCAGTCAATTTCCTTATGCCACAGAAACTTGTTTGCGTCTTCTTTGACGGGAAACAGCTTGTAAGTTTTTATTTCTCTCGTAGTATAAATAATTACCTTTTTAGTTGTATATCACTTGTATATGTTACTGAGTGCTAACTTGTCCTCCCCTTCCACTGTTTATCTTCTCAGAGGAAATGTTTCATGTTTGGAAAACTATCAATGTCCTAAAAGTGAGTTTACGTTTCATGGATTTCCTATATCCTTCTATAGTACTGATTGATTCGTCTAGCAGTTGATAACCTATTTCTTCTTTTCCAAACTTGGTACTCCCTCTATATAAACTGTGGTGGAAAGAGCGTAACATTTGATGGAAATAAGACATATGATGATGATTCAACTGAGATGGAATCAGCAACATATCGTCAAATTGGAACAAACTGGGCACTTATAACTGCTGGTCACTTTTTTGATAGTGGACGCCCTGAGTACTACATATGGTCTAATGCAACAGAGCTTGCCATCGAAAATGATACTGAACTGTACATGGACGCACACGTTTCTCCAAACTCTCTTACTTATTATGGATTCTGCATTGGAAATGGAAACTACACTGTGAATCTCCATTTTGCTGAAATAATGTTTAGTGATGATAAAACATTTAGCAGCAATGGAAGACGTGTATTTGACATCTACATCCAGGTGCATGTTTTTTCATTTTATTTTTACCACATGTACTAATCACATGATATGAACCAATTTTTCTTAAAACTAAATTAGAAAAAATAAAATTCAATTCATTCAATACTGTGCATTTGAAGGATTTATATATGGCAGAGAAATTTGGTGTTGAAGGATTTCGATATTGCAAAAGAGGCAGGTGGTGTTGGCAAGGCAGTGATTAAAACTTTTACTGCTGGTGTGACTAGAAATGCATTGGAGATTCGCTTAGGTTGGGCTGGGAAAGGAACAACTACTATCCCATTTGGATCAGTATATGGTCCTCTTATATCAGCTATATCAGTTGATCCTGGTTAGTTGTGTTTTCCATGATTTAATATTGTGTTCAATCACCTTTGTTGTTTGCATAAAATCTATAATGCGCCTATTAATTGTGCAGATTTTACACCCCCGTCGGAAAATAATAAAAACATGCCTGTAGGAGCTGTGGTTGCCATTGTGGCTGCGGGAGCAATTGTTATCATCTTTGTAATTGGCATAATGTGGTGGAAGGGCTGTTTAACACATAAATGTTTAGGGGCAAGAGGTAATCACTGAGAAACTACTTCAACTATCCTGATTACCATCCTTTTTGAATAAACACTTAACTAACTTCCCTTGAGGAAAGTAATAGGAATTAGATGATGAACTCAGTGAAACCATATATTTCTAATTATTGATGATTTTCCATAGATATCTCTGATATTGTTTGCTTTTATTGTCAGAGCAAAAGGGTCATGCTTCACAAACTGGCTTATACAGTTTACAGAAAATCAAAGCAGCAACAAACAACTTTGATGAAACCTTTAAGATTGGAGAAGGAGGATTTGGTCCTGTTTACAAGGTATATTTTGCACAATTTGATATTATTATTATTATTATTATTCAATCTACATGTGGTCCTGTTGGTTAATCATAAGTTTTATACTGTTCCTCAAAATGCAGGGTGTTCTACAAGATAGCACAATTGTAGCGATTAAGCAGCTATCTTCAAAATCAACTCAAGGATCTCGTGAATTTATTAATGAGATAGGCATGATTTCTACTTTACAACACCCTAATCTTGTTAAGCTCTATGGCTTCTGTATGGAAGACGATCAGTTGTTGTTGATATATGAATACATGGAAAACAATAGCCTTGCTCATGCTTTATTTGGTAATTATTTGGCTTCTGTAATCAGTTATAATCTTGAACATTTAACATATATGTTTATGAATAAAATGATACTGTTGTCTAATTTCTGTCAGTCAAGAAAGAAGACAGAAAATCGTCAATTGAGATTGGAATGGAAAACTAGGAAGAGAATTTGTATCGGTATTGCTAAAGGTTTAGCTTACCTGCATGGAGAGTCTAAAATAAAGATCATTCATAGGGACATCAAGGCCACTAATGTATTGCTAGATAAAGACCTCAACCCCAAAATATCTGATTTTGGTTTGGCAAAGCTCAACGAAGATGACAAAACCCACATGAACACCAGAATAGCTGGCACTTAGTGAGTTCCCATACTTGATTCTCTCTGGTTATGAACTTTATTGAGTTTCCATACTTTGAAGAAGCCAAAGAGTAGAGGTTATAATATAATTCCAAATATAACTTGGTCAACTTGTTAATAATATATATATACACACACGTTTGCGTGCACACATGTGTAAGTATTGTGTTTGATTTATTTGCAGTGGATACATGGCTCCTGAGTATGCTATGCATGGTTATTTGACGGAGAAAGTAGATGTTTACAGTTTTGGAATTTTTGTGTTGGAAATTGTTAGCGGAACCAACAACACTGTTAGTCATCCTCAGGAGGAATGCTTCTCCCTTCTTGATTGGGTAACCTATGTTCTTATGCTCTCCTTCATTCATGTCAATCTTGCTGTCAATGAGAATATCTGACATAGTTGTGGATGACGGAGTAATCACACCTTTATTTGAAACATTGAATTGTACATTAACAGGTGCATCTTTTGAAGGAAAGAGATGATCTAATGGAGCTTGTTGATAGGAGATTGGGAGAAGACTTCAAGAAAGAGGAAGTAACGACGATGATCAATGTGGCTCTTTTATGCACTAGTTTTTCTCCGTCGCTCAGGCCCTCCATGTCTTCGGTAGTAAGCATGCTTGAAGGAAGAACAGATGTTCAAGTGGTTGCAGAATCAACTGAGGTATTGGATGATAAAAAATATAAGGTGATGCAACAATACTACAAACAAACAGGAGAAAGTAGCACAAGTGAAGCTCAAAGCCGAAGCTGAAGCATCGCAACAGATGAATCTAATGCCTTTATTTATGATACAGATTCTTCATGTTGGGAACCAAGAAATTAGGAAAACTATACAGCTTGCATTATTTTATTTTGTAAAAAATAGAACTTGCATTAATTAATAAACATGTTTTTCACAATATGCCATTTTACTTATAAAGAAAACCGTAGAAACGCTTAAAAGGAAGACTAATCCATAAGTGAAAAACTATTGTATGTATGTGTATGTATGATGGTGAAAACTGAATAGAAAGTAAAATGATTTGTTGTTTGAGTTTATTTATAACTAGATGTTAGAATTGCAAGGGACATAGGAGGAAGTTTTTACTGTTGTGATATCTAATATTGTAATATATGTGATAGAATTAGTGTATGTTACAACTTAAAATTATTTCAGGTATTTAATCATTCATTCACTGACTCCAACATGTGATTATGGTCTCCAACACACTTTCTATAGTTGGGTCTAATCGAATAGACAATCACATAAGGTGCCGGATCTCATGGAGGTGGTTTTAATTGTCTATCTTGTATAAAGTACAACACGCGTTATTTCAAATATTCAATCATTCATACATTCAAACTATTTTCTCACTCATTCATTGACTCGGGCGTCAGAGTGCTAATCTTGCATGTTCACCTCCACCGTACTATAAGTTCATTCTACCACATAAGAACTCACGTCCACTCGATCTTCACCTATCTCTGGTTTTTGTATGGAACATCGACGTTGTCGGTGGAAATTGACTTCTCATTCTCTCGAATTTCCACAAAGAGCCATCATCTCTTTGCCACGATCTCAGATCACCGATATTATCTCTTTCAGAGAGCTAATATTTTCCTCACAAAGGTCATCGATTTAGCCCTTGCCTTCATGGTAGCATCGAAATCAAGTCGTTCAGCTGCCACACGCAATACCACTATCACGCTAGTTATCGTAACCAACGCTCCAAATAGAGTGAGGGAGGCTCCATTTCTCCCACTGGTTGGGGAGGCTGTATTATTAGTTACTCCTCCTATAATTGCAACAATGTAAAATATAGCACCTCCGACAGTTAAACATGGATCCTTCCAAATTCTTTCAACCTTTCGACCTCTCTTACAGTCGGTCCAAGGTCGAGCTTCGAAGCAGCATTCGTCGCAACCTAGATTCTTGGACATGAAATGCTCCACAATCTCGAACAAATGTTAGCTAGTTTAGGCGCACATGGAAAAATGATATGATGAACAATGTCTACAACCTAGTACAATCGTAGAATTCACACTTCCTCTTTGAAAGGATGTTTCAGATCGAAGAAAACTTGTAATTCACTTCCTTGAAGATAATTTCGTGCCTAGGACCGCTTCGTGTGGAGAGCATAGAAGCGGGTTATAACTTATCCTCGTCGACACTGTTTCACCACCTAGGGTGTCTCCTAGGTCTCCAAACCACAATCATAGTCGAGGACAACAGACTCTTCCTCATGATTCTAGAGGAAGATGCAAGAGTCACATGTCACTAGAGGTGTGTCATCGTCACTGTAATATTCCATGTCCTCTTAAATACTCTATTCGTTGTCATTAGGACAAATTGAACTCCTATGTGTTATATTTGTTGTCAATTGATACAGACTGAACTTATATGTGCTATATTTGTTGTCAGTTGAGACAAATTGAGCTTCTATGTGCTCTATTTGTTGTCAGTTGGAGCAAATAGAGTAATTAGTGAACTCAGTTGAACTTAATTCTTACTCAATGAGACTGATCTTTATTAATTAGTACAAGAAGGAACATTTTGGTAACATTAATATTTGACCATTTACTCTGGTAGAAGAAATTATTCTTGGGAAAATATCATTGGAGATATTTCTTACTATCTTTCAATCTCCACCATTTATTTATTTTCTCTTTCCATCCACTTATTTTCCACCAGATGCATCATAGCCATGCCTTTCCATTCTTGAGTTATCTGAAAACATAATTGGAAACTTAGAAGAGAATGGAGAGAAAATGAAAGAAAGAAAAGAAGATAAAGAAGGGAAAGGAGAAGAAGAAGAGGAACATGGAATATCATCATCATCAACACTAGGATTTCATCTCATCTTCTTCACCAATCTTTATCACCTTCGTCATTTCAAGGTGAGTTTCTAGATAGTTTAGCTTTTAGAGAAGAAATTTCATGGTTGGGAAAACTTAGGGTTTGTGTGTTTTGCTCAAATCATAGAAATTGATGATAATACATGTTCTTTCTTGATGATACACGCTTACTTGTGATGATTCATATTGGTTCTTGTTGTATTGTATGTGCATATCAGTGCATGAATTGTGTAAGGTGTGATGTATGCTTGGTGTGTTAATGTAATAATGTGTATATAGTGTGTCATATGTTGTATTTAGTTACATGCTATTGTGCATACAATATGATATAGTCTGCTACTGATATTTCTATTATATACTACAATTGATTTTGTTGTAAATAAAATTGTTGAATGCATGTGCTAAATGTGTGTTATGTTAAATTGAGTGTTTATGTAATAATAATTAACAATGTTTTATGTCATGTTGTACGTAAAATATTGTACTATTATGTGAATATAATATTATTGTAATTGTGTTTGTGTGATGCATGTTATGTGTGTACTGTAATAGAATTTTAACATGCTTATTTACGTATATGAGAATGTGATTTATGTTGTACGTATTACATATTTTATGTGTTAGAGGAATTACTATATAAGATTAATATAACGTATGTCGAAAATAATTGATAATGTGCATTGAAAAACAATATGAATAGTACCACATACGTTATTATGTGTGTTGTTCAATTCGTAATAATGATTGCGTGTAAGTACTGTGTAACCATGCTATGAATTAATTGGAGTTGCTGTGGTATAATAACATGATTAAAACCTTATGACGATGAGTGAGGAAAATCTAGGAGTATAACTAGGTGAATGAAATAGAAAGATAACTTAGGTCATGAAAATGATTTAGGTGGTGATGCTTGGACGTAATGGTACCTCAATGTGTATCGCAAACAAGTATTCGCTCGAATGATGAATTAATATATTTTGTATGGAACATGTGAAAAAAATATGAGAATCGGTGAATGTGACCACCTATTTATTGATAAGACAATATGAGAATTGATGAATATGATCACCTAGTGATTGATGAGAGAAATCACAATGATGTTGAACCTAATAACGTATTCAGAAATTACTCTTGAATGGGCACATACCAATTGAGATACTTATGTAAAGTATAGTTGATGATGTGGCACCGATGATTCAAGTTGAATGGATTTGAGTCCTAACTTTGTCGAGTTCATAAGGGAAAGGTGGACACCTAAGTGATTATGAGTCCCATACAGTGAAAGAGACTCAAATTTGATTTGAGTCTCATACGAGTGACAGTTCTTGAAGTGGGTTCGAGTTCCATAGAGAACCCGATTTCCACACGAAAGTCGAATCATACGAGCATGCATAAACTGAACCTTGCCCTAGAAATAAGTCCAGTCGGGGATCGATGTTTTGTGTTTCCGAATAGTGATTTATTGAGTTGTGTGAAATCAATTGACATGTTACCATACAATGTAAATATCTCCTAGATGCTTAAGTCTTAGTTACGTGGTGTAAGTGACACTTTAGTTACGAAAGATGATGACTTGAGTTAAGAATCAGTAACATATCTATTTAAAGTCGAGTGGACTCATAGGATAGGGAAACTCACTGAGATTATTATCTTTCCCCATTATCATTTTCCAGGTGTTTACTTGCATTTTAAAGATTAAAGAAGTTGCCTGATGAAGTTTCAAGAGTTCTGATTATCGAAATCTTCTGCTGTGGATATTGCATAATTGTATTTGTTTTACATAGATCTTAGAATTTTGTTTAGGAAATATTGTATGACATGTTTCATATGTTGTATTTTATTTTATGGACGTGTATATAATGATGATGTTAGGCACTTATGTTGTATCAGTACCAATTAAAATCACGTATAATGTATTTTCTAGATGTATATCACACTGGGTGTTACAATTGGTATCAGAG